AAATTCTCGGCGGCGAGTACGATCATTTGCCAGAAGTCGCCTTCTACATGGTAGGACCTATTGAGGAAGTAGTAGAGAAAGCAGAACGCTTGGCTAAGGAAGCAGCTTAAATGTGTAGCGGCCCGATGTCAGATCAAGTTCTGAGCCACCACGTAATATGTTAAGCTACAGCAGTGTTAATCGAACTACATAACTAACTACCCTGGTATATAATCAATTTAATATGTGAATTCATTTTGAATCAAAAAGAATAAAACTAAATAAATCCAAAACTTTAAAAGTTGCTTTGTTAATATTTATTTCTTAGTGGTTACGTAACCTTCGCAGTGCATTGGACAAAATACATTTCGTTTGTTAGATAACAACATATATAAAAATGGATAAGTTTTGCTGAAAACAAAATTAAATAATTGGATTAAGGCTAAGGAAGAATAAATAACTTCGCTTTATCATTTTTTAGCCTTAAATTCACTTTTTATTACATAACCTTAAAAATTTGTGAAAAAGTGAAAAATATAAAAAGAACTCGCTTTTAGTTTTTAATAATAATATATCAGAGGGAATGTGTTAGCAAGTGATGTACTCCTACAATTGCGTAAACTGAAATGAAGCTCCATTAGTTTCGCCACATTTTTACCAACGAAATTTAAAATCCACCTACACTTTCGATTATTACGTATGAAGTTTAGGGTTTCTTCAAATTCATCTTCTAGGTATAAGCTATTAGATTCTTTTAGATCTCCAAATACATTGATAACTTGTTACATTAAATGGACGTTTGAATATATATATATATTACAACGTCATTACTCAACTCATTCATTTAATTGGTTATCCTATATTCTCAATAAAAAATGTATTTGAATTTCTCGCTAAGGTGAATTGATCCAATAACCCAACATTATCAACTTATTATATAAAAGTTGATGTCTCGAATCCGTAAAATAAAATTCTATATATATATATATATATATATATTTGTAGATAAGCTTTTTGACAAGCATTTATAAATATCAAATATTTAGAACTTTTGAACAACTTATTATTTAATAACAAATTATTAATCTGTATTTATTATTTCTAGAAATATAAAAAAATCCATTAGGACTAAGAGTTTACATCGATTCACGCGTACGTATACTTGTAGTTTAACCGTATTCAGATTGTATAGTGAGGGCAAATTGGCCTTTCGGTATAGAAGTGCCGTGATACCAGATTCTAGTGTCTACCAATACTGAAAAAACCAGAATTAATATTAAATTTTTAATTAACAAGCCTATCGATCTACCTGCATCACCGGGTTCCACATAAAACGAGAAGGATTGACAAATATGATCACATTCTGGAGTTGGAGCTAATATCCAACTTTTGTTTCCCTGCAACTGTGCCTGCCACATTAACCTAGGTATGTAGTCTAACTGAAAAATTAATTTACAAAATGTGGGAACCCATAAAAACTATTTAAAGAATGACTAATTACGTGCATGAATGCGCCTTGTTCATAGCCTAAGAAAATATAATCAGTGTTTGGCATTTCTGCATCAGCTGGTAGAAAATGAGGACGAGGATAGAGTTTGCGTAATTCCCCCAACACAACTGGATGACAATTACTCCAACCAACATACCAAGTCTCATCTCCTTCCCTTAAGTTGGCTCGCTCGGGTGGCATATTTAAGACATCTCGAAGATTTTTAAAATCTGAGCGGAAATGCAAAAATTGGCAATCTTCATCTAAAGCACCTGGTATACTTTCATACAAGTTCTTTATAAAAGTAAAGTTTAACAACTTCGTCGCCGGCCAGTGTGTCACAGCGTTTTTTATAATAATTGGTTGCGATGAATAAGCTAAAGGTTCAAATTCGTCTCGAGTTAAATTTTTCAATATCAGTGGTCCATTAACTCCTCTGAAAAAGCAGATTTTATTTTCGTTGTAAATTGATGAGAAAAGAAAACTTACTTGCAGAATTCACAATCACTAATTGGTCTTGTTGCTTCTCTGATAACTAAATAATTGTTTGGTAAAAAGCAACGCACACTCAGCAGAAAAGTAATTATTTCGTAAAAGAGTGGGGTCGCCACCATTATAAAAGCCATAATTCCCAAGCCATACCAAATATTAGTTAGATTTGGGTTTTGTTCTATTTCGCGAGATTTGCGATATGCTTCCTGCAAATCTGCAGTTGTTACCAAACCAGTACGTATTGCTCCATCATGCAAAGCATCTAACTGAAAAATTAATTTAGTTTTATTATACTTCTAGTTAGAGATTTGTTATTATCTTGTCATAAATTTTCATACTTTCTCAATGAATTTTTTGCCAAGCAGATTTTGAGTTCGCTGAGATGTTCTAGCAGGTGCATTATTATCTGTCCGGTTCCAAAACTAGCAAAAAATGTTGTTAAAATACTTGTAATATACAACAGATTTCTCTAATACCAAAAACATAATCCTTTTTTTATTTAGTCTCTATTCATAATGTAAATCTTAAATACTCTACGGTACTCCTTTGTTTTTTATTTGGTTAATATAATAATATTATTGTTTTTGTCCACTTGAATCTTTTTGACAGCTGTCAATTTGCGCTCAGTGAGTTAGTGTATCGCAAAAGTACTTTTTGAAGCACTTCACAATATCTTGCATTCAATACGAACGCAACATGTGATGTAAAGCGAAGTAATTACAAGTAATGAACATTTTTCATTTAGATTGTTCAATTTATTAAGGTCCACAAATGTAATACGGAACATGGAATACGCATGTTAATTTCACACATAAACAAATTGGTCTTCATATTTTCACTTGCTGCCTTGACAACTTAACTCTCAAAATTAAAATGTATGCAGTTAACCATATTAAGAACTGAAACGTGAACATGCTTTATTGTCATGCAATAAATGTAAGTATTGTAATTAACCAAACTAGATGTTAACCCATTTTTGTTATAGCACATTTACACTGTCTCATTTAGGCTCCTGCTCATATTTATTAATGAGTGAACGTTCTCTAAAGTGAAATAATGACCTCTTTTATGCAACTGATAACACTTTTATATATTTCACACAAAAAAAGTTAGTATATAGTTTATATATTAAATCATTTTTGTACATTTTATATATCAATTACATATTCAATTAATAAAAACATTTTATTAATTGATAAATTTTATATATTAAGATTTTATTAAATATTAACTTCTTCAGTGCCTATGCTTACAATTCAGCTGTTCATTACATTACACAAATAAAACATATGATACCTATTTCAAATTTTGGTAATTTCTTTTAGGAATTTCCCTTGTAGCAAATTTATTTTTAAACGCTGCATTCGACATTTTTCACCCTAAATAAGCTCATTTATTGATAATGAGCTCATTTATATGAAAGTTGTTTGTATGGTAAATCATCTTCATTAGTCGCTATAATGAGCAAAATCGCCTAAATGAGACAGTGTGAATGTGCTGTCAAGCCAGCAATTTTGATTATTTGCAATTTATGATATATCAAATTTTTTTATTTTGTGTATATTCTGGAAATTCATTACAATTTGTTTTAAATATAATTTTCTTGATAAAGAGAAAAATGAATAGGAATTATATATAATTGATTTGTAATGAGTTATTCAAACTATTATTAAATAATAGTATTGAAATTTAACAACTAAAAATAAATATATAAATAATTAATTCAATTAATCTACAACTGGTTTATGATTTTGTTCTAATATAACAATGCAAGTGAATTTGTTAACGAACTTTCATTTAGTTTTATATTTTTATTATTAAAAAACTTCAAGTTCGAGCATACAAGCATTGAGTAAAAATATTAATATTAATATTTATATAATACTAGCTGACCCGGCGAACGTTGTTTCCCCTTGCAATTAATTTTTCTGGCGTTCATTGCGTTGCTCTTGACTTTCATTAGCACGTGTGATTGT